CCCGGAGGCGGGGGAGACCTAATGCGCATGCGTGGCAATGCCGCGCACACGCATTAGGCCTCCCCATAGGAAAGCATTGAATAATGCTTTCAATGCTTTCCTATGGGGATTTCGGCGATGCTGGAGGTCCTCACGTAGCATGAGGACGTCCAGCATCGTTATAACACACTTTTCGTGTTCTATGAACACAGAAGTGGCCTCTATTGGCTGTCTAGTAGACAGCCACTAGAAGAGGAGTTAACCCTGCAATGTAAATATTGCAGTTTATGAAAACTACAATAATTACACTTCCAGGGTTAAGGGTAGTGGGAGTTGGCACCCAGACCACTCCAATGGGCAGAAGTGGTCTGGGTGCCTGGTGTGTCCCTTTAAATTTGAAATCCTCTTTGAATTAATTTGAATTATCACTTAAGTAAATAACCATGAACGTCAGGTGTGACCAGAACGTAGATCTCCAGATGTTGTTGAACTACAACTCCCATGATGCTTTGCATATAGAATGCCTTTAGAAGGACAAAGCATCATGGCAGCTGTAGTTTGAAAACATCTGGGGACCTACCTTTTGGACAGTGATTTAGATTTAGGATCCAGAAGAGTGATTGATATACTGCAGAGCAATGTATTTCTCACCTCGTTTCCCCTGAAAGTGTTAATCAGTATTTAAGTAAATTGTATCATTATGCCAGTGGTTGCAGCATAGTCACCTGTCATTAAACAGTGATACAATCCCCACAATTATTCATGTGAGGACATGGTTTCCGTCTAGGTGACAGTGTTAATCCAGGTGTGTTATATCTGATTTATATCCCATCACCACGGGGTCCTACAAAGTTCTACTTAGTGCCCTTGAATATTTGCAGACTGTCTTTTAATAACAATTTTAATTCCTGCTGTCTGTTTCACAGCCGTTCTTGCATCCACTGGAGGCAACGTGTGCTGTTTCTAACTGCGAACCGCCGAAGAATCAATATGACACCCTGACCTCCAGTCCAGCTGCAATTCTCCTGTACTGCCGGGAAGAGAAGTGAAATAATATTAAAAAATATTAGGGTTTATTCACTAAATACTGAATTGCAGTGACTTGAGAACCACATTTTTAAATGTAGGCCAAAACAGCCAAGCTGTTATGTTAATTGAAATTATTTTCCAAATCAGTTCTTTTTTGCCTAACTATTGCAAATAGTTTTTTAATTTACTACAATGTAATCAATACATCCCATTCTGAATCTTCAACATGGCTTGGTCACCACAGAGCCTCAAACATGGGTAGCATTTAACTGGCACTAACGGAGTTTGCTACTAATTCTGGATGTGCCTTCCCAGTCCTTTTATTGACCTAAACTGTAATATGGGTATTATTATTGCCATTATTAATATTATTATTAAAAGCAATTATAGAGAACCATTTGCTTATTAGCCCTGGCTGGGTTAATCTGACATTAAGCAAATCCTCCCACTTCATTAATTTAGCCATAACCCTACGAGAAGTAGAAGGTACAAGGATTCTGCTATTTATTATTTAACCCCTCACATACATCACATCGATTGAGAGCCAAGGATTGAATGTTTAGCAAGATATCACTGCTTGTCTTGTTAACCCAAATATTTCTTATATTAGCCCCATCCTGGTGCATAGGGTAGGTAGGGCAATGTGTGTTTTGGGGCAGTTTCCAGACACATATCTTGGTCAATTAACTCTTACATACACAGGGTGTAAGAACAGGCGGGGGGGATGGGGCATTCTGCCAGGACACCATAATTAGGGGTTTCTAGAGTTGTGTGATATATTGTATGTATTATTGTTATTGCTATTACTACTATAACTATTGTTATAAAAAGGTACAATATGTTTTATTTGGGATTTTTTCTTTTTTTTTTATACTTATTACTAGTGATGTCCCGAACGGTTCGCCGAACGGTTCGCGACCGGTTGGCCGCGAACGGTGCGCCACGGACTCATCATTGAGTAAACTTTGACCCTGTACCTCACAGTCAGCAGACACATTCCAGCCAATCAGCAGCAGACCCTCCCTCCCAGACCCTCCCACCTCCTGGACAGCATCCATTTTGAAGCTGCATTCTTAGTGAGCTGTCCAGGAGGTGTGAGGATCTGGGAGGGAGGGTCTGCTGCTGATTGGCTGGAATGTGTCTGCTGACTGTGAGGTACAGGGTCAAAGTTTACTCAATGATGAGTCCGCGGCGAACCGTTCGTGGCGAACGGTTTGCGAACCATTCGGCGAACCGTTCGGGACGCCACTACTTATTACCTTATTTGACCAATTCGCCAAGACCCTTAATAATTCCAAATCTTACCTCAAACTTGAACCTCAGTCATGTAACATGTCCCTTCTTTATATCAAACGTTGTCCAATTTTTCTTTCCCTACCCCTATGAAATCTTCATTACCATATATATTAATATACTCTTCTTGTATATAAATCAGACAATGCTTTCTGTGCACAGTGTCCCTAACTGATATAGTAGCACCGTTTGTCCCCTTGACCACACAACCTGGTATGGTGCAGGCCAGTAGGCTGTCATTATAAACAGGGCTTATCATATAGACGCCCGTGGATAGATAGTGTATCACACTCACAAATAAACTGACTGATTCCCATCGTCATCTGACAAATAAATGTATTTTCAGTAACAATGCACACAAACCCAAATACACATGCATAAAATTGTTGCAAGGAATCAAATATGAACCTAGAAAAATATGGCTTAAATGGGAACCATCACTTCTTGTATAATATTATGTTTACTTATCCCTATATTTAACAAATATGTGTTTGTAAAGACCAAAAAACACAGTGCAAAAATCGACACAT